TGCTATGAGTAATATTTAGTACTTAAAAATCATTATAGAAATAACTATTAAATAGTGCATTATATGTAACACTAACAAACCCTGAATATTTTTTATATTATGTGTCAAATTTTTAAAATCACGTAACCTAGTTTTCCACCAATTTTAATTTATAACGGAAATAGGGTACAAATTTAAGGTGAGAGTAAAGCATGAAAATTTTTTATCAATTAAGAGTGAAAAAATTTTGCACTTAAATTTTGAAAGTTTTAAAACTACACGATATTGAAAATTTTATGTTTTTAAAATCTCGGATTTTGGTATATTTTGAATTAGTTTTTTCCAAAAAAATATTTTGGAATTAATTAAATTTTAATTCTTATTTTCAAATTTTATAGATCAATTGCAAAATTATTGCAATTTAAAAAATAAATGAATAAAAAAGATCAAATAACAAAATGTTATTAAAGTATTGAAACAAAAACTGATCAAATTACAAATATTCAGTGTTTATTTTGCTGACTAAGAATATTTTAAATAGAAATAATTCGCCGATGAAGTCAATTTAAATTAATTATAGCTACTTAAGAAAATGAAAAAATGTTCAAAAGTAATTGTTATAGGGAACGTTTAAATAAATTTCAATTCGCTTGTAAATAAAAAATTTTTAACTTCTAGCCATATTTTAGTTGTTACATAAGTTGCAGCTTTATTATTTTTGAATTATTAAGATTAACATTGAATTTATATTGAAAAATGTAATCATAATCCATTAACACTTTAAAATTACACAATTTAAAAATTAAATCATAAATCTAAAATTTTTGTTTGATTAAACAATTTCATTAAATTTTTATATACATATGTATATACTCGTAGTATATGTATGTGTACAAAAGCATAAAATTATGAAATCACCTTTTTTATATTAAATAATAAATATTCAAATAAGAATAATATACAAATTTCCATAGATTATAATTCTCTTCTTTTAATTCACTTGTAAATAAACTCTTTTAAAAGCTTTTGATAAATATTTTTAAAATATCTTTTAGATAACAAAAATATATCAGAATAAAAACATGAATCCAAACACGTTAATACATACATACATAATATTAAGACAACAAGTTCTTAGATAAAATTAATATTAAAACGAGCAAATACTAGAGTACAGCAAGAGCAACGCGTACAGAGCAACTATTAGAAACTACATCATAGCTAGTTTTAATTATATTTAATGAAAAAATTTTAATTGATAAATTTTTTCTTATGTATTCGTTTAGAAGTTTTTAATAATTTTACCCGAATATATTTGTGTTTTGATGTTTATTATTTATTTGCTATTTCAATTTCGCTAACCAGCACATTTACACACATAATTACTACTTTGTTATAGTATAATTATTAAAATTTTATTTTATGTTATGCATTCATATATTGCGTATAGTTTTTATGATTGAAATTGGAATGCATCTAAATATTTTATAGTGTTCACAAATATACAACGAACGCCCAATAATTCAATTCATTCCTTCTATAGTACCAAAATAAAGCAAAAAGTCAATAACAAAAATAAAAGATTTAAAGTTTTAGAAAAACAAGAACAAAATAAATTCTGTTTTTTTTGTTGTGAACAGTTTTTTTTATTGTTTTTTTTTATAAATAATTTATAAACAAGTAAAAACGTTTCAGTCGGTATAAACCGATTGAATTATACCCTGCACCTTTCGTTATTGTGTAGCAATTACTTGAACCTCTAAAATCATTCTATAGAAACTTCACGGACATGTCTGACCCATAATTGGACATCCGACTGCCAAGTTTCATGAATCTGACCTTATAATTTTTCCAAATATTTAAAATTAGCTTTTGGAGTTGTATGGTAAGTACCTGAACCTGCCAAGCAATTCCACCAAAACTTCACAAATATATCAGATCTATAATCGGACACACAACTGCCAAGTTTCATGAATCTGACTTTATTATTTTTTCAAATATTAAGAATAAGCTTTTAAACTTGTATGGGATCTACTCGAATCTGTTAAGCAATTCCACCAAAACTTCAGAAATATATGTGACCTATAACTCGACATACAACTGCCAAGTTTCATGAATCTGACTTTATTATTTTTCCAAATATGTAAAATAAGCTTTTGGAGTTGTATGGCAAGTACCCGAACCTGTCAAGCAATTCCATCAAAACTTCACAAATATATTTGATCTATAATCGGACACACAACTGCCAAGTTTCATGAATCTGACTTTATTATTTTTCCAAATATTAAGATTAAGCTTTTAGACTTGTATGGGAGCTACTCGAACCTGTCAAGCAATCGCACCAAAACCTTAGAAATATGTCTGACCTATAATTGGACACACGACTGCCAAGTCTCATGAATTTGACTTTATTATTTTTCCAAATATTTAAAATAAGCTTTTAGACTTGTATGGGAGCTACTCGAACCTGTCGAGCAATTCCACCAAAACTTCAGAAATATATTTGAGCCATAATTGGACACATGATTGCCAAGTTTTATGAATCTGACTTTATTATTTTTCTAAATATTTAAAATTTGCTTCTGGAGTTGTATGTCAGGTACCCGAACCTGTCAAGCGATTCCTCTAAAACTTCAGAAATATATTTGACCTATAATTGGACACATGACTGCCAAGTTTCATGGATCTGACTTTATTATTTTGCCGAATATAAAAAATTTGCTGTTGGAGTTGTATGGCAGCCACCCGAACCGGTGCAGCTACCCCATTATAATTTTTAGAGCATGTGTAGAATATAATTGGACACATGTATACAAAATTTTATATTTATACCTTTATTAGTTTTTGAAATATTTAAAATAAACTCTTTGAGTTGTATGGCAGCTACCCGAACCCGTTGTCTGAATTAGTCCAATAACAATAGGGCTCGTCCTTGGTACAAAAGAAAAAACTTGTGAAAGTTTGGTGTCGATTGCATTATGCGTTTTTGAGTTATCGTGCGATCGGACGGACGGACGGACGGACGGACGGACGGACGGACGGACGGACGGACGGACGGACGGACAGACGGACATGTCTAAATCGACTCAGAATTTTACGCTGAGCAAGAATATATATATATGTCCATACCGCAGATGACTCCTTCAAGTAGTTACAAACTCCATACCAAAGTTAATATACCCTTCACGAAGTGCAGGGTATAAAAACCGTACAATATAACAAATTATGTTTTATTAGTACTTAAGTAGAGAAAGAACTTATTTTTAAATTAGAGAAATATTTAATGAAATATGTACTACCACAAGTAAGGTAATGCACAATGTATCTACATTCATGTACTTATAGTCATAAAAAATATTTATATATATATATGGTAAAAACCAAATAATTATGTTTCCAATTATTCATTGAGTCATTTTGATATTTGGGTTTGGGGAACTGTTTTTAATGCACATTTAACTAAGTAGGTAAGTATCTACCTATTAGATAATGCAACCTACATATGCATATATATGCATTCATATTTATGAAAAAATTATAAGCACGATTTAAAATTGAATTTAATAAATTTGCTTATTTAAATTAACAATAACTAAGCTATGAGCTCTTTTAATGTAAACTATTATTCTCAATCAAAATAAAGTTCCTTTTTAACAACATCAGTAACAGTAGGTAGATAGGTACCTTCATATGTAGGTATACTTATAGAGTTTCTACAAATCCTAAAAAGTTTTTAAATTTTATCACAAATCCAAAATTAACATCAGTAGTGCAGTCTGCAGCTCCTTATCATACTTATAGGACTGTAAAAAATTAAGGGAGTGATAAATGGGTCGCCTTTCATTCCATTTCTTTTTGGATTTGAAAAATTTTTACTTTTGATTTCATTTCTTTATTTAAATTGTTAATTGCAATTAAAATCAATTTTTTATTCTTTCGCTGCAGTTATAAAATTTTCATAATTCGTCTTTCCCGATTGATTGGCCCGACTTGATTTGCATCAGCAAATATACGTATTATCAGGTAAGTTTACCTGGTTATCTTAATCTTGCTGCATTGTTCTTCTGATTTTCTGATTCTCTATTAATAATTGGCTTATAATTTTGTAGATGATGCATTTGTATTAAAAAATTTAGAATTTAGGTAAACCACAATCTTAAATACTAATATTATTTTATATATGTAAGTAGAGTTATCCAACAATTTGTATAACAGATTCCACAGAAAAAAGCTTTAAGATAAGTTTTCGAAACAAAACCTGAATTTATTAAGATAAGTAAAAATATAAAAATTCAAAGCACATCAATCTCGAATAACATGTTAATTAATAAGTAATTTAAAATAAAGAATCCAAATAAAATCACAACAAAATAAATAAGTTCTTCTCTATGAAAATTCTATTTATAAAAGAAAAATTTATCTATGAAACATGAATTTTTTTTCTGAGACATTTCTTAAAAATATACGATGACCTTGATCACATATGTAATCAAAATGGTGTCATCATTTTTTGTCTTTATTTTTACCAAATACAAGAATTTTTAATATAATTTCAAGTTATTCTAAAGTAAAAAAAAACCTTTTCTTAAAATCTAACAAATAACCATATTAGAATGTAAACAAATATGTGGGTAGGAATAACCATATAAATATTGTTGTTTAAATCCTTAAAAAGTAATACAGTGACCATATAAGGTATAAATTAAGTATAAAAGTAATTGAATTTAAATTATTTTAAACATTTTCTATTAAAATAAACCTTATATAATAATTCACAAATTTATTAGTTTTTATTCTTATCAATATGATAGATATACAATTAATCTAAAACAAAATGTTGCAAACCTTAAAAAAAATATTCCCCAGATAAAATTTGTGAAAGATGGCGGAAAAATTTATATAGAAGGTGCCATCTGAATAAAAATTCACAATATTTTTTTATTATTTCACAGTCATTTTCACAGTCATAAAAACTTAATTTTTTTATTCAAACAAAAATTAAAATTTAAACAATTACTCACATTTATTGGATATCAAAAGGGTAATATTATTATTTTTTTTTACTAAAATTTTACAAAATATACAAATTTTTACACAATACGCCCATGACAAAAATGTCAAAACTAAATTTATATTTCAGAAATAGCGAAATATGTAATTGACAGAACATAGAAATGTCAAAATAGTTGAAGTATATTAATGTATATACAGAAAAATTGTTGAAAGTGAATTGAATGAAATTGAAACAAGGATGAACAAAACAAAAAAAATGGTGATTTTGTTTAATTTTGTTATGAATACATACATATTACTTGTACGTTGACGTATCTTCAAAATTTCGGCATTTATGTATATACACACTTGCTTATAACTTTATTTATTTGAAAATAATTGACAAAATCTCATTTGATAATACTAATTTATCTAAAATTTAGTGTAAAAACAAAACCAAAGCGTTGAACGGGAACAGTGGACGATTTCCACTGTGAACACAGTATTCAAGCGAAACAGCAAAAACCTAGTGTTTAATATTTTGCATATCATAATATCATACACACTCCTGGAAACAGATAATGTCAAAAAAAAAAAAACCTCTGGCGGTAAAATAGGATTTTAAGCTGCTTACGGCTGTCGGTTTCGCTGCTGAGATTTCACTTTATTACGGGAGATCTCGTTTTATGTTTATTCTATATGAATTTTGACATTTCGCCGTTAAAATTTTCAACTGTTAAAATTTTAAGTCTGCAACTAAATATTTATTAAGGATAATAGTGTATATAAATACATATGTACAATATATATATATATATGTAAAATGCGAATTCGACATACACATCCTTACATATGTATGTTTGTGTACACTTTTATAAAACTATCCGTTAATAATGAGAAAATAAGTAATTTAAATAAAATTCCTATAAAATATCGTATTTTGTCTAAAAAAAATCCTGTTTCTTTAGGGAAACATTTAATTTTTCCAAAAATCACTTTATGGTTGCTAAAGAACAAAAATTATTTCGAAATAATACTTCAGGTAAATATGTACATATAAATCTTCATGCGCATATGTAGGTACACTACATTATATTGCATGTATTGCCGTTTTAAATAAAATTTGAATATTATTTGTGTTTAACTACTGGTTTTGAAATCAATTCTCACCTAATATTTTAATTTTAGGAATCTATTTTTATTTTCTTCCTCTGTGGGTGCGTCTGTGCAAATCATATATTTTAATAATGAACCTATGTAGATATAGAAATGTAATATTCTGGTTGTGAGACTTTACGATATTTTTAATATTAAAATATTAAAAATATTGTAAATGAACATGTGAATTAAGGTGTTCTTTGTTGAGTCGCCAACTTGCTTTCACAAAGAATTGTTTTTGAAATATATACATACATACATACATATGTCCAGTTAGTTATAAATCAATTCATTTTTGTATGAGATGGGTGCGTCTTCTGAGGAATACAAAATTCTCTTAAAATCCAAAATACACGAAATAATATATTTTAAGTAAAATATGGCAATAGTAGAAGAGTACTTATAGATCTACAGTAAATTTATCTATATATATTTAAATATTTATAAATATCTAAATAATCTATATATATTTAAATAATTAGTTGATAGTGAAAATGAACTCAATCAAATCTTATTATTTCATTATAAATTTAAGTTACGAAACATAACGCTAAATGTGAACACTAGTTTAACTCCCGAAAATTTGCACAAATTCTTGAGAAATTCTAAATTTCCAATCTAATGAACTTTTGCAGAATTATCCAATTTTGTTTTAAATTTTATTTTTAAAATTTCAAAGTTTTTTTTTTCTTAATTTTTTTCTATATATATTTTTAGAAAGCTGTTATTTATACTTCACTACACTAACAAAATTAAATATTCCGCCTCTGCAATATACCGTTAATAATATCTATAGATACCGTTAATAATATATTCTCTTTATGTATGTATGTAAAGGCGTATAACCGCCATTTTTATATTATATTCTGTTAGAATGTGCTTGCGTAGCATTAATAATAATAAAATGGCGCCAAGAAAGTTTGCAAAAGTAAAACTTTTTACTATAGATAATTTCGATTAACTGTAAAATAAAATAAAAACAAATGGATGTTAAAATTTTTTATATGATAAAAGAAAAACTTAACTTTTTAAGATAGGAAGAAAGAAAATGGAAAAAAAAACAATAAATAAAAAAAAAGTAAATTCCCTTGAATTAGTTATATAAAGTAACAATAATATGAATGAAGAAGAAAATATGAGGATAAGAATAAAATTGGTTACGAAAGATAAATTAAAGTTCTACTTCATTAGTGTAGATAAAATGTGACGATTATAAATGTGATTTTTGCTTCATATACATTTTAAGAAATAGAAAAAGAAATTATCAAAAAATTTATTCCAAAAAATATATTATTTAACATAAATACAATGTAATAATAATGTAAGCAAATATACCATATAATATTAAAAACAGCAAATAGGACGCATTAGTTACATCCTTACAAGATGGTACAAAATAAAATGCTCACTTTAATTTCAATAAGAATGAATTTATGAACTTGATTTTTTCATTGAATTTGACACTTTTTGAATTACAGTTAAGTAAAGGTGCTAGTGGGTGTGCGTTAAATCGTTTAGGTATAGGTACTTAGCCAGTGTTTATTGAAAATTTAAAAACAAACCGTGATCTCTTTTGAGAAATAAACACACAAATGAATTTTCAAATATTGCTTACATAGAATATTCCATTCTGAATTGAATTCAGAAATTCAGGCAATAAAACTAAAAAATTATTAGTATTTAACCATATTTTCGTATATAGTGAGAAATTATACTAACAGTCTAGGAGCACGTTGGTAATTATAATAATTTTCGTTGCTTTTATAAACGAGTTCAGTAAATTTTGCACAAATTTAAAAATAAGCACAAATTTTGCTCCTAAACTAGTTTTTTTCCTATTTACAGGGGTGGCCATATAAATAGCCGACTTATATTTGATTCTATAATATATAGCAATATATTAACACAATTCTTGAATTAAGAAATACATAATATGTATAAATTGCAGCTTAACAAAAATTTCAAATACTTAGATGAATGCCAAACGAAATGTCTCGTGTACGTAATTTTGTTTAAGCTTTTTCTTTTCAACTGTAATGTAATAATTGACTTATAGATGAAATTAATGAAAATTTTTTTTGTTTTACTAGTAAAGAAATTTTGCATTTATGGGAGTTGCTTACATACAGTTCCGAATTTACATATACTTAATAAAATGCAATAGGATAATATTATAAACTTTGTCAATTTTATTTTTTACCACTGTGTACGCGAAGTAATTTTTTACATTTTTTTCTTAATAGGTTTTAGAAAAAAAAATTTATAATAAATTGCTTTTATTAAAATATTTATTTAAGATACAATGAACGTACATACATACATAAACACATATTTATATAGAATATGTGTAAGTATAAAAATAATACAATAAATTATGGATATTTATTCATACGAAGACACACATGTCCATATGTACGTGTGTGTTTATTTAATCTTAATATTATATTTTTTAACTTTTTGTTATTACAATACATATTTTTGCAAATTTATACATTCCTAAACAAAAGGTCATATAAAGGACAAATAATATGATATACATATAAGTACATATTATGTATGTATATATTATATATACATATATATATTAGCAAGAAGAAAGAAGTTAAAATGTCATATGTTATTTTTGAATATAATTTTAACAATTTTATTGAATAAATTTTACTAACTTTTGTAAATGCCATAATCATTATATTGAAAATAATATACACAAGTAGAAAATTCGTAAATATATGTAATTTATATATGTATATATATTTAATGTAAATTCTTGTAATAAGCTAATTAATGTAAAAGTTTTTCCTTTTTATATTAAGCTGATTATCAATTTAATTTTTTTAATTGCAACTCAAACCTTAATTACCTTAAACTTTCTTTAATTGGAACTCAAACCTTAAAAATTTAAAATTAATAAGTCTAACAATTTATGCTTGAAAACAAGAGTACCTTAACGTATAATAAAAATATTAAAAAGGGTCCCGTGCAAGTTTTGTCTGGATTGTTTACACTTTCGCTTCAACAACCGATTTTTAAAAGTAAAAAGGGAATAAAATAAATATATATAATATAAAACGTTTATCTCCGACTTGTTACCAATCTCTGCCTGAGTTTGTCGCATGTAAAATAAAAACGGAAAGTCAATTTCAGGTTTCAATTTTACGCTTTCAATTATTTTATTTGAAAATTTATATCAAATTTATTTATATAAATATTTGTGGAAATTTTATTATAAAAGAGACAGGTAAAATAATTGACGTCTTACACCCTTGATCATCGCAAATTTATGATGGAGTTAAAAATCATCAAAAATAATTAATTTGTTTTAGTATTTTTAGCAGAGAACCAAGTGACTAATTCTCGAGTAAACAGTTAAAGATCTTAAGGCATGTTAAGTGTGAACATAAGGTAATAAATGATTTTTTTTAAAGAATAATTGAGAAACAGATAATCATAGTAAAATAATCTAAAAATGTGGGTTTCGAAAAATAGATTTTAATGTTTATATTAAGGAATGGCGTACCTGGTTAAAGTTGAGAAAATTTTCAAAAAAGAAAATTTTTATTTTCAACAAATTAAGTACACACCAGTATTTGTTTCTTCAAGACTTATACATATCTAAAAAAGCGTCTTAGGTAAATTATGAAATATACGGCTGGAACAACAGCTTTCACCTTATATAGTGTCGCAAAATATGATTTAATTCGTTTGGGCTATCTAAAGGTATACTGAGAAAGTTTTTTCCAATACATAAACGTGGTTTCAAATGAATCCATTGGAATCCATTATTGTAATATTGGACAATAATGTTAAACTGCATTCAGGTAATTAAAAACTTTGATAGAATTTTTATATTTTCAAAGTACCTTACCTTCCCAAATGTAAAATAGTTTAACTCAAAGTAACTTTATACGAATGCCAAGGAATAACAGTATAAAAAAGCTACGTAGATATCTAATTTAAATATTTTTTTTTGCA